TTAAAGAAACTCCAGAAAAAGTTAGTACACGCACATGTACATGTATTAGCTTGTATTTAGTTCAGTGCAATGATTTTCTGATACATATTGATGTCCTTATGCTATGTAGAAAGTTTGAGTTGATTCCGACTTTATTTTTTAAAGTTATGACTTTTTAAAAGAATCAGCCATTTTTCAAAAAATTCCCTGTACTATAGCCCATGGTTTTTTCCAAAAAATGGCTCCGAAATCATGCCCAATTTTTATTACATTTTCTGATACATATTGATGTCCTTATGCTATGTAGAAAGTTTCAGTTGATTCCGACTTAGTTTTTTCAAGTTATGACCATTTTAAAAAATCAGCCATTTTTCAAAAAATTCCCTGTACTATAGCCCATGGTTTTCCCAAAAAATGGCTCCGAAACCACGTCCAATTTTTATTACATTTTCTGATACATATTGATGTCCTTATGCTATGTAGAAAGTTTCAGTTGATTCCGACTTAATTTTTTCAAGTTATGACCATTAAAATCAGCCATTTTTCGAAAAATTCCCTGTACTATGCCCATGGTTTTGTCCAAAAAATGGCTCCGAAATCACGCCTAATTTTTATTGCATTTTCTAATACATATTGGTGTCCTTATGCTATGTAGAAAGTTTGAGCTGATTCCAGCTTAAATTTTTGGAGTTATGACCATTTCAAAAAATCAGCCATTTTTCAAAAAATCCCCTGTACTATAGGCTATATAGCCCATGGTTTTCCCAAAAAATGGCTCCGAAATCACGCCCAATTTTTATTACATTTTCTGATACATATTGATGTTCTTATGCTATGTAGAAAGTTTCAGTTGATTCCAACTTAATTTTTTCAAGTTATGACCATTTTTAAAAATCAGCCATTTTTCAAAAAATTCCCTGTACTATAGCCCATGGTTTTTTCCAAAAAATGGCTCCGAAATCACCCCCAATTTTTATTACATTTTTTGATACATATTGATGTCCTTATGCTATGTAGAAAGTTTCAGTTGATTCCAACTTAATTTTTTCAAGTTATGACCATTTTTAAAAATCAGCCATTTTTCAAAAAATTCCCTGTACTATAGCCCATGGTTTTTTCCAAAAAATGGCTCCGAAATCACCCCCAATTTTTATTACATTTTTTGATACATATTGATGTCCTTATGCTATGTAGAAAGTTTCAGTTGATTCCAACTTAATTTTTTCAAGTTATGACCATTTTTAAAAATCAGCCATTTTTCAAAAAATTCCCTGTACTATAGCCCATGGTTTTCCCAAAAAATGGCTCCGAAATCATGCCCAATTTTTATTACATTTTCTGATACATATTGATGTCCTTATGCTATGTAGAAAGTTTCAGTTGATTCCAACTTAATTTTTTCAAGTTATGACCATTTTTAAAAATCAGCCATTTTTCAAAAAATTCCCTGTACTATAGCCCATGGTTTTGTCCAAAAAATGGCTCCGAAATCACCCCCAATTTTTATTACATTTTTTGATACATATTGATGTTCTTATGCTATGTAGAAAGTTTCAGTTGATTCCAACTTAATTTTTTCAAGTTATGACCATTTTTAAAAATCAGCCATTTTTCAAAAAATTCCCTGTACTATAGCCCATAGTTTTCCCAAAAAATGGCTCCGAAATCACGCCCAATTTTTATTACATTTTTTGATACATATTGATGTCCTTATGCTATGTAGAAAGTTAATTTGAGTTAATTCCGACTTAAATTTTTCAAGTTATGACCATTGTAATGCCAAAATACATGTATATCTTGGGTACTACATGTATATGTATATCGTTTTTCTGAAGGATTGGCATCACTCCCAATATACAGTGTACATGCACACATGTACATGTAGTACTGTACATGGTTTTGGCTAATTTTTATTAATTAAAGGAATTAATTTTTATTGTGTTTGTAATGTACATGTACATGTACTTGTATTTATGCTCTGTACATGTAAGTACATGTACATACATCTACACATGTAGTTTTAGCTGATTTTTATCAAAATTGGAATTTTTTACAATGATAATAAAGACACACACACACGCTTAAATTTTTTTCTGCATGTAGTCATGTACAATACAATAATGCATTCACTTGTTATTTTTCACTAGATACAAAGATACAGTTGAGTGCGAGCGTACGGTAGTATGGACAGTAAGAGGAGGGTATTGGGTGAGCACGTTCCGTTGTGCTGCCCCTTCCTCTCAATACCTTGAGCTCCTGGAGAAGATACTCAGCTCCGATCAAGCGGCTGCCAATACTCCCTCCACTGCTGGTACAGGACCTAGTGGACGAGTACCAATGAGACGTAAAACCCGAGGACAAGATACCCTCGCCCTTGAAACGCTCAAAGGAAAAGGAAGTATTGTGGAGTCTGTGGATCTTAGTAAGAGTGAGATTAGGAGACAAAAGAAGGAGAAGAGAAGGAGAGAGTGGGAGGAGTTTAATCAAACGAAGCCAGGAGCTGGTTACGAGGACCCTGAAGAAGTTTCGGCTATTAGTAAAGCAAAGTCAGAAATGGGCGATTATAAGCTTAAGACTTCGAGTGATTACGTTGTGTCCGATCAACAGAGAATGTCCACTGAGAAGAAGAGAAGGGAACTACTGATATGCAGAAACAATGTAAATGCATGTACATGTATTAATTACTACTGTACCTTAAAATTCAGTACTTTATCCTTCATTTTTTTCCTTTACTAATTTTTAGCTTAATGTACATGTATATGTATTTTCTGTGC